CTCGCTCAAGCCGAAACCGAACCATCATGGCCGTCGTTATCGCTTCGTGTCTCCTTTCCCACACCATCACGTCAACGTAATCGTCGACGTCGCGTGAACAACGCTCTCCTTAAGCCGTCGATTTGCGTTTTCCCGCGCAATTCCGAGACGATCGCCGCATGAAAAGTCCAATTCTCCGAAGGGCCGGTAATCTCACTCGCGGAGACGCGATTGTCGGACGCCGATGGCGGTGACGCGTTGTTGCCCGACGCCATCGAGAGATACCGAGCTCGATATCGCCACGCCGACCAATACCGAGTGTAACGCGATCGCCGAGGTGCGTATCAATTTGACGAATCGTCGAACAGCCGGGGAACGTGGATCGCGCGTGATTATCTATCGGCACTGACAAAGTGACGAGACGCGCGACTAAATACGAGAGAACAAACGACGAACCGACAAACGACGCGCCGGAGTCCTTGAAAACTGAAATCGTGCCCTTCGAAAGAGATCTGCTCGGCTCGCTAAAGAGAGAGAGGAGGGAGATAGAGGAAGAACCTTCCCCCTCCCTCCCTCTCTCTAGTCGCTGGAACAGCGCGCTCTTCGTCCTCGTTCCGCCAATGGAAACGGGTTGCCCTCCCCCCTTCCCTCCTCAGGGAGATCCTTCGTGAAGAGAGTCACAAATGTGGAGCGACGTGAAAGGGGCGGGAGAAAAAATCTACCTGAGCGATTTTTCTGGCGGGAATTACAGTGCCACCACGCGAGATTCTCTAACGCTGTTTCAATCGCTTTTTTTTTTCTTTTTCGATACCGCCGAAAGATAAGTTTGAAAAATTCTTCGAACCGACGAAAAATGCAGCGCGATATCGTGAATGGAATGTGAAATTTATACAGAATTTACGTTTTGTACGGAGGATCCATCACGAACAATAAAAGACAATGTTGACAGTAGATAGATATTTAGGTATTTGAAGGGTCTGCTGAAACAATAATGCTATTCGCAAGGTCGAAAGTCTCTTAAGATAAAGAAGAAATTTTTGAAAAGATTTCAAAAGGAAAGTAAGATCGATTCAGGTAAATATTTATCTTGAATGATTTATGACGTTGATTTAGAACGAATAATAAAATACTTGGAAGCATTCTGTTTTTTTTTTTTTTCGAGAAAAGAAATTAATATTTTTTAAGTAGGTACTCTTCTCCAAAGGCTATTGAGCGAGAAATATTTCAAGAATTTTTCTAGATTTTTCAGGAATCTGTATTATGCTGCCAACAATTGTCTTGCGTGTTGTTCATGTATTTTTAAATTGTCAAGAAATATTAAAATAAATTATAATCTAAATAAATTATTTGCTAAAAATATGTATACTTTTTGACAAGCAATCTCTTCAATCTCACACTTGGTCACAAATATTTCGAAGAATTTTTTAGATTTTTCTAGTTTTAGATTTTTTTACAATTTGTACTATCAATTTTTTTTGCTTCTCGTATTTTATTCGTATAATATATCTTAAATTTTAAAGTAATATTAAAATAAATTACAACTATAAAGTCAGAAATATGTATATATTTTTGACACAGTCCCCTCAATTTTATATTCAGCATTTTATATTCAAATACAATTTTATATTTAATTCAGTATTTTATATTCAATTTTATATTCAAATATTTCAAAAATCTTCTCTACATTTTTATATGATTTTGCACTATTCTGCCAACATTTCTCAGATTCATTGTTTATTTATTCTTAAATTTTAAGTCAAGAAATATTAAAATAAATTCTAATTATAAAGTCAAAAATATATACAGTTTTGAGACAAATACTCTCTAATTTTCAATCTATTTTGAATAAACGAATTTGAATAATCATTATAATTTATATAGACTGTGAAAACATTATAGGATTTGACTATATATTAGGTAAATTATCTCCAACTGGAGCTTTGAGTTTAACAACTTATCATACCTACTTTTTATATAAAATTGATGTAAAGAAAACAATTGTAAAAACTCACTTTAGACGATGGTCCACTTTCAGTACAGCCATACATGCTGAGTACATCGTCGTTTTCATTGTAATGTGGTTTTTTCAATTTGTAATCCTTCTTTAATATCAGATGTTCCATCTTAATCAGATTGTCAATAGTAGGCTGGATATCCGCATCGTTATTGACGCAAAATGTAAGCCACAATTCTGTAAGCTTATCCAGGTCCACATCGTAATTGTCGCAGAATTCAAAACCTATGTAATACATATCAGTAAGAAACTAATTCCAATCAAAAGTATCGTTTGCTTCTCGATTAAAAATATTTGTGAATCTTAAATATTTCTATTATTCTAAAATTATATTATTTTAAAATTCTATTCTACAAATCCAGATAAACAAAGGAACTTCTCTTTTGACTTCGAGTTCAAGTTTCGAGTAACATTGTTTAATTTTAATCGCGCATTTAACTTAAAATTCTTTTTATTTCTTGTTACAAAACTAAAATTAAAAAGAAAATTTAAAAGATTAAGTTTAGTTACAATGAAAATTAATTGCCATTAATAATAGTAGCGTTCTTTTAAATCGTTTAAGTATTTATTTGTAGCGAACGTAAAGTGAAGGATTTCTCGGTTTCAAAAGTGAGGTTATACGAGAACGAAAGTCTGGATATCAATTTTAATCACATATGAAATGTTTTTGTTACAAAAGATATATTCGTTTGACCATTCGATGCAATTCAAAGTTACAACTCTACCTTCAGTACAATCAAAATTAAGTTTTCAACGAGATCCGGATAAGTCGAGACAAGACATGATTTTAAGAAAAGATTTTTGACATTAGAGTTGAAAGAATTGCTGTAAATCTTGAAAGTACTTACATTTATCGAGAACGGCATCATTCTTGATTTCACACCCTAAATCCAGGAACAATTTCCGCAAAGATTCCTTGTCTTCCATTTTGAAGTACTTCGAAACACTTGGGTCCACCACACGTTCCTTGTTGCTTATTGCCGCCAAAAAGTTGAGTTTTCAGCAATTTTCAGTTTCGGATTTAACAAGATGTAGCATGGAGTATAGATATATATATATATATAGAGAGTATGATACAGACTTAGTTGCAGATGGACTTTTATGCGCGTGCGACGTGCAAAAAGTGCGAACAACACGAACAGATCTATTTGTATTGTTTGCACTTTTTACACCTAGAATCGTTGCTTTTTCTTTTTACTGCCCGATACATGTTTTTATTTCGTTTTAAATCGTTTCAAATGCTGAACTTTAGAAAATTTCAAACAACACAAACAAATTTATACATAAAATGAATACTATTGTCTGAAACGCAATATAGTTCTGTTCTTGATTGGCACATTTCGTTCAATCCAGAAATAAATGTGTAGACAGACAAAAATTCTAGTAGTACTGAATACATCCAATCAGATTTTAAAGAAAAAGAGGGAAGATCAAAAATATAAAAATGTTCAATCATCAAGTTGTATAAAGTTCATACTTTGTAGGTGAACCTTTTGTATTTTTTATTTTTCTTTTTCCTTAAAATTTGATTAGGTATCATTCATTTTTCAAATTCAGAAGTATAAGGCTCAGATTTCAGACATAATGAAATGAATAAAGAGGACAACAGATTTCAATGTATTATAAAAACTAGAATACACGGTTTTTAATAAATTGAAATCTGTTATTCCTTGTTTTTCTTATTCCTTTCATTGTGTTTGAGCTCCAATATGATTACGAAAAACAGATTTAAATAGATTTTGTCTATATGAAGAAATAAGTATAATAACTAAAACTTTAAGTACTTGTTCAATTGGCTGATGATTCAAATGATGAACGTCAAAGATCTAAGTATTAATTAATTGCAATATTTATACGTTATTATGTTTATTTAACGTTTCATACATTGATTACAAATCACTTTGTATATTATTTAAAATACTTGTATATTATTTATAATACAATTAGACTTACAATGTTTCAACTTGTATTTATAAAGTAATTGTATATTCATATATAACGTATAGATATCTTTATATTACATATGCAAGCTCGGAATATTTCCAATTGTAAGACTGGTATTCAAAATCGATTCTTATATTTATAAGGACTATCTTAAATACAATCTTAAGATGTGATCAGAATATTAAACTTTCTGTTCAAACAGAAGTTTAATATTCTGATTATAAAAAAAAATGTAATTATAAAATAATATTTTATCTCATACGTGGATATTGCAATATTGTTATATTAGGCCTTCTTTGTTAAAATAAAATTTTTTTTTTTTTTTCATTATTAAATGTATGTACTTAATACATATTACTCTTCTTCTTCTTCTTATCTTCTATTGGATTTTATGATTCGCTTCAGTGGATTAAATTACCACAATTTCTTTGAATTTCTCCAGTGACTTGTCTAACATGTTACTCAAATAAATGTAAACAAAAATACTGTGGATCACATGATGATCCATATGGCATGATGATAAAGTCACAAAATTGGCCCAGTAACGTCAATACGAAACGTATTCATGATCTTGAAATAAGAATCGACTATGAATATCGGCATAAATACATCCTCTCGTACTTATCTAAAGACATTCAGCGCTAAATTAGCTGTCCATAAGTCTTGAACAGGACAAATAATTTAGTGACGAATATCACGCTAGAATGTCGTGGAATATGGATCACAATATGATATAATCTGCAATCATACAGCTTTAAAAAAAATTTAATTGACACGCACCATATATACACATTCAATCCTGAATAATCAATGGTCACGTTTAGTAGAATATTAGAAGTTTTTTTGCTAAAATAGGACTATTTCTCTAGAATAATTAGATCTAAAAATCCAATTGTAAAACGCTTATTTAGTCATTGCTATTTGAAAATATTAAAAATTTGTGCAAAAATTTAGTAGCCCATTTTTTTTGCATACGAGTATATTTATATTAACTTAAAATGTTTATTCACACTTTTTCATTGATTTTTTTTCACTGGTCGCATTGAATCTAAAATGAAAATCTAATGAAAACGCGACCATTGATACTTTAGTAAAAAATAAAGCGTAAAAAAGTAATATTTCTGAACATGTAACATCTGCTGTTCTGGTAAATAGCCAGACACGAAAGAGCATACAGAGTTATATGAAATTTTTAACGATTTAGTTTGGACAAATATTTTAATATTCCGACTCAAAATGTTGTTTGTCTTTTTCCCAGAGTTCTATCAACGTTTCAGATACGTCTAAACTTGGGAATCTTTCTATCCATGATTGAATAAGCCCCGCGAACGACGGCTCATAATTTTTCAGTATCACATTATTAGAATCAAGGTCTAAAACAAATAAAAAAATTAGATTTATGAAAATATCATATAAGTATACATAAGTACATGGATAATACAAATATTTAAAGAATAGCAATAATGTATAAGATTTTCTTTGATACAAACCGTCAATAAATGTATTTGATTGAACGAAGATCTTCCTTGGTTCTTTGCGAGACAGGATTAAGTCCCTCCAGCTACCCCATGGATATGGTCCGTTTTCAGGTACCTCGCTGTATCTGTCGTACATTTTCTTAGCTGACTCAAAGTCTCCCATACTCTTATAAACTTGCAGCTTCAGGAGAAAATCTCCGACGGCTTTTTTGCCGACCGTGAAGATTTTGCTTCGATCGACAGTTATACGGAGGTTGGTTCCTTCCTCAGTTTCGACAACATTGACGAAATCCTGACCTGCTTCCAGGCACACTCTGAGCAGGACATAACGCGCTTGAGAGTGAGCTTGAGACCACGTTTGCGTGGACGGTTGATACATCTCGAAAGCCTTTGCAAAACCACTCCACAGCAGAGATAACCAGTTCACGTAGATTATATCCTCCGCTACCTGTCCCTCGTGACCGAATATTTTCATCGTTTCTTTCTCCAAGCTCAAATAAAGACCGACTGCCTCCGCCCTGCACTCCTCGTATGTGGATCCCAGAGAGCCGAACTTAGAATCGTAAGTCTCTCCTTTCAAAAAGAATTTGTCTATCTTACCACCAGTAAGAGGATTTATCACAGTGTCATGATCAAAGTTGTATATATCCGGTCCCATCTGTTTAAATAATTTACCGGTACCATGACCGAGAAGCTCGTGAAGACCAACTTGCACCTCAAAGCTATCTACCCTATACTTATGCATCAACGCTTGATCAGCATCAGATAAAAATGGAATCGTACGGACATCCTTCAAATGAGCAGGTATAACATTTCCTAACGATACATTTTTAAAGCCTTCGGATTGTCTAATTTCATCGTAATTTGGGATGTTTATTCCCGACGGAATACTAGAACCTGCGAATGTTAGAACGTCTAAGGAGGTAAAATCCGGTCTCAAAAATGTGTCCTTCTCGAAATCCTTGTTCCAAGGCAGCTTGGGGATAAATTCTTCGGCTCTGTTGACTAGTGTAGCGAATTTCTCAGACATTTGTCTATTCACCATCGCTACAAAGCCTTCGAATTCTCCTCGTTGACCTGCGGGATCTCGATACGTCTCAATGAAGCCGATATAGGTTTCGATAGACGGTCCTTTATTCTTTATCCAAAGACGAGAACCATCCTTATGATCGTCTAAAGATCCTGTTTTAAAATGTTCGATGTATTTTTCCAGCATATTTTTTTCAGTCTGGTTCGACGCGTACTCCTTAGCTTTCTGAAGGTTTTCCACAACAGGCACCAAGAGTTTGCTGTAATCTCCTCTTGTAATTTTAAACTTGGCATTTTCGAATGTTTCCTCGGGCAGTGTTACTTTAGGATTATCTGACGTCTCTACTGATGCTAATTTGATTTCATACATATTAATATTATCGTTACTTGCGGGATCTTTCACTACTGTCTTGAAACATCTTGCGTTACAGGATTCTAATCCTTTATGTTGCATGAATGCATTGACTTTGTCAGCATCTTCTTTAGTACAGTTTGCAGAGAAATAAGTTGTGATACCTTTGTCACCCAATCCCAATGATTTTAATTTACCCTTTAAGGAAAACATGGGTTCTGATATTTTATTCCATAGATCTTGCATCTCCTTAGAATTAGTCTTGTAAGCTTTTGAAGATTTTATTATTGCCTCCAATAAACCTTTCGGAATATTGGGGATAATTTTAGTATCGCCCATGGCCTTATAGTTGCCTGCATTTGCAAAAATCCCAGAACTGTAAACTAAGAAAGCCTGAAAAATAAAAGTCGTTATGTGAATGCTAACTTAATAATCTGCAAAATTAAAAAAGAAAAAAAAGAAGAAGCTAAGAAAAGAATAAAGTTTTTCTTATACCATAAATTGCTCCTGAGTAACACCAGCGCGAACTGAAGAGTTTTTTAAGTCTTCGAGAGATTCTGAGAGAAATATTTTTTGCAACAATGCAAATATCAGTGGAGATTCCGGCGATGTCTGTACTAGTACTATCAATCCTCCGTTCCATGCCGCTTGGCTCAAGTAATGAGCATACAATTTTTCCTTTTGTGTCAAAGATTTGAAGGCAGTGTCGCATTCCAGAGCGACAACAGGTTGATCGTTTGGCAAAGTATACAAAGTTTTATCTATATCACTCATTGTGCACTGTTGCTGTATCCTGAAAGAAAAACAAAAAAATATGCTATAGAAATCTATTTAAATTATCTGTGCAACTATGACTTAAAATATCTTGTAAATTTAGTAATCAAATAAGTCCTAAACAATAATCAGTCTGAATTAATTCTGAGATGCTACTGCAGGTGAATTTTTACCCATCTATATTTTGAAAGTTTATTATAATTTTTATTTAATAATACTGTAATAAGGAAATATAAATACATATAGTAATACTGTAATTTTTATTTATTAAAATTTTGAGAGCTTAAAATAACATTTAACCCTGCTTGTCTATTTTATTTAGGTCAATATGATTAAAAAACTCTAAAAAATAAAAATTAAATTTTCACAGAAAAAGATCTTGCATTAATAGGGCCATCAAATATCAAGGGAAAAAAGTTTTTGAACTAAATATTAGCAAGAAAATAAAATACATTTTGGATCAAATAGATCAGTAGAGTTATAAGATTGTTTAATACTAAAGTTTATTTTTTTTTACATTAAAATAATGTTAGTTCAGTTGTTTAACGCCTTGCAACCTAAAGTAGACATAGGAAGTGTAAAAAAAATTCTTTTCCATATGAATGTATTTTCATCTAAAGTAATATTAATATAAAAAAATAGAATAGTATACCCAGATTAATATTATTTCATATCAAAAGTATCTCAAACTTTCTGTTGTTTCTGTACTTGACAGATATAACTTCACTGAGATTAGACCTCAATGTAATAGAACAGTATGAAAGATGATCTTTGTATTTATTTATGACAATGGAAAAGCGACACAAACGACAATTAAATTCTTTTTTTTTTTTATATTTATACTGTGTGAAAAATTGAGTTTGGCGAGTTTCAATCTTGGATATTCAAAAATAAAAAACAACGCGTTTTTAGTACGATATTATGGTTTGATATAGCTCGACAGAACAACTTGAGAGCTCATAATTTAGATTTCACGTCAAATGTAACGCACCGCGAATGCAATCCAATTGAATCTTGAACGATTTTCGTCTTGTGAGCGATCTTCGTAGAGCACGGCAATGTGGAATTAATGGAATGCAGTTTCTTGCAATTCGCGATTAACCTGAATGCAACCGAACCTCGTGACTTCGACATAATACTGAACATCTGAAAAGTCACGAGTGTCAGACAATTGAAATCTATCACGGTAGCAAAGCAATATGGAATAATATCTATGTAATGCCGAATATAAACAGCTTGATTCGTGCGTCTCCAATGAAATGCAGCGAATTATGAACTCTTTGGAAATCTCGAATGGTTATCGTAAGAACATGAGGTTATTGACAAAGTATTAATCAGAGTTTTGAGAAATTTCGGGCTATTCACTTACCAAAGCAATCAAATAGGAGTGAGGGAGATTGCAAAAGAAGCTTTCGTCGGAGGCTTTTATCTTAGACTATATATACCTAGATTAAAAAAGATAAGATAATAATTCGCCCATTATTATAAACGCATATCTGTTATCATGTGGGCATTTTTCGAACGTATGTACAGTATCTAGATATTCGTAAGTCGCGACTGTTCGAGATAATGATTGCTTTATCATTGTTTACGTTATTAATTTGTTATTTTTATATCTAATAAATTTTCTAAATTATTTAGAATACTTACATTTATGTAGTCTCTATATAATTTATAATAATTGTATAATTTTATATTTATCGGCAAACTGTTAAAGTTTTCTATTATCTCTTACAATGATGTTTAATATCTTTATAACAAACCGACTCCAGGCGCAACGAATTAAATTTCCTTGTTGTCATAAATTATAATATTTATTTTACAGAAAATTCCTTTTTTCATAAAAATCTTTTTTCATCAATTTCTGATTAAGTTGAATTAATTAATTAGTTCCAACTGTAAGTAACTTTAATCTCGGTTTAACTTACTCTTTATTTTTTCTAATTCTAGATTAGAAGAAATATAGAATACATTAAATCGAGATTAAAGTTAATTGACGCCATTTGATGCTAAAAATGAGCATCGAGCAATGGAATAACAATTGACGTCAATGTTCTTGTTTTAGGATTTTTAATACTGAACGTTTGCTCCACTGTGCGTACATCTAGAATCTTTCTCACTTCAGCGTGGTCAGAATGGTCAGATGTTTGCAGATGTTTGTGAGAATGCTGAGAATGTGAGCTTGAAAGCTGTGTAAACCTTTGTAAATTTTAACATTTCTCACGATTTTTCGTTTTTTATCGTGTTCAATACATTTTAAATATTTAGAGACTTGCACTGCAGGTAATACATAATGGAAAGTGATATTTATATATGAATTAATATTTCATTATAATTATCGAAACAAACATGAAAATTTTCTAAGAGTATCATAAATTTTGTAATTATAAAACTCTTTAAGTTTAAGTTTTTTAAAAATGAATTTTAGATATTGCATTATATATTAATATAATATATCTTTATCTAGGATTTGGTGGATCTTGTAACAAATTTGATAGAGGAAACTCCTGTATCCCTTATTACTTAAGTAGTAATTATTCTTGTAAAACATGGCACATTACAAAGGAGCAGCCAGTGAAGCTGGCAGAGCCATGCAGCTGATGAAGAAGCGAGAAATTGCACAACAAGAAATAGAACTGCGAAAGAAGAAAATCGAAGATGACTTAAAAATTCATAATATAGAGAATAAGTTTGCGACTCATTACAATGCTGTTGAACAACAATTAAAGACTTCCACAATTGGTTTGGTCACATTAAATGAGATGAAAGCAAAGCAGGAAAATATAGTGAAAGAACGGGAAAGAAAGCTTGCTCAGAAGGAACGAGAAAAAGAACAGGAAAAGGAAAGAGCGTTAGCGGCAAAACAGGCAGAAAAGAATAAACAGAAAAGGCAGATTCAAGCGTTGTCTTTCAATTTAGATGAAGATGAAGACGAAGACGAAGATGAAGATGAAGCTGAAGCTGAAGCTGAAACTGAAGCTGAAACTGAAACTGAAATTTCTGACAAAAACAATGGAGAAAAATCTGTAAAATCAGATGATACTCGATGTAATAAAAAGATAAAAAAAAATCCAGATGTAGATACAAGTTTCTTGCCAGATAGGGAGAGAGAAGAGGAGGAAAATAAACTTAGAGAGGAATTGAGACAAGAATGGGCTAGAAAGCAAAATGCATTGAAGGAAGAAGAGATTGAAATTACATTCAGTTATTGGGATGGATCTGGCCATCGTAGGAGTGTTATAATGAAGAAAGGTAAATATCTTAATGTGATTAGAGAATTATAAAGTTATAAAAATATGTTTTTCTACGTAATTCTACTTCATGAGTTTATTTAAATATTTCCTTTCCTTTTTTTCACACACAGGTAACTCTATCTATCAGCTTCTTCAGAGATGTCTGGAAGTCCTGAGACGTGAATTTAGTGAGCTTAAAACAGTAATGGCAGATCAGTTAATGTATGTCAAGGAGGATCTTATATTACCACATCATTATACATTCTATGATTTTATCGTAACTAAGGTAAAAATATTCAAATAATAAAGCTTATCAAGCAACAACACAATGTTGGTATCTTATTTTAATATGTAATACATTAATGTTGCAATTAGGCACGAGGAAAAAGTGGGCCTTTGTTCACATTTGACGTTCATGACGATATTCGAGTTATGCATGATGCTTCTGTCGAAACTGAAGAATCACATGCTGGAAAAGTTTTACTTAGGTATTCATTAATAAAGAAACAGTTCAATTATATTGTATAATTTCTTTCGCATAATTTTTATTTCTTATAATTTATTATCCTTTTTATATTTTAGATCATGGTACGAGAGGAATAAACACATTTTTCCAGCGAGTAGATGGGAACCCTTTGATCCGACAAAAAGTTATGACAAGTATACAGTATCAGATAAAAACAGGAAGAAAGATAAGATCTGATAGATTTAGATTCAATAAATTGTTCAACATTGATTAAAGAATTCGAATTCAAAGAGAATACTGTACAATATAATGCTGTCGAATCGCTTTACTTCATCGTAATTGATTCACGAGACAGATTGTAAAATAAATGTATATATTTTGTAGTTATGTTTATTTTAAATGACTGATTTTAATTTGTTTAATGCTACAGTAGCATTTAGTTTATTCGATTATGTAACTTAATTAAGATATTAAAAGGAAGACTTGCGAAACTTTGGGGAAAAATATAAAAAGAAAGTATGAATAGTTTAATGACTTGAATATAATTATAATTAATATGAAAATATACAAAATTATACTTTGATTCGTTTCGATAAAATAATCAGCAATAGTATTAAAATATTGATCCAAGATTAGATCGTTTAACATAGATCTATTTACAATTTCAAGCCGAATCATTATCTTAAAGATAATTGTACAAAAATAAATATATTCGATTATGTCGATTATAATCACGTACTATTTGTAGATTTGATACAAGCCGGATCCATGTATGTAATATTTTCGGGAAAATGATCCATTATAATAAACTTCTTCTCAGTCGATTTGGTGAGACAGTCAAGGAATCCAAACCAATAAATGACAAGCCCGAATCCAAATCTGTTCCAATAACTCAAGAATTGTTCCTTCATATACTTTTGATGAACATCCACATTACCAAATCGTGCCTTAGATTCAATCCAGTTTATCACATAACCATTCACCGCGATCGGTACTTCCAATTTAAAATCTGGAGTCTTGTCGTAGCCTCGTAATCGTAAGTGCTCTTCGTTACGAAATGCAATATTTCTTTGTATTAAACAATCTTGAAGCTTAATTTCATATTCTTGTCCTATGCATCTAAAAAAATTTCTCTCTTATGTAAGTTTTGTAATTTGTTAATTTATTTTATTTTTTTATAATTTTATATCAAAAAAATTGAGAAACATAGAAACTATCAGAGCATTTAATAAAAATTAAAAAGTATAAGTTTCTAAGAAATACTCTTTGTTAAATAGTTTCTTTTTTTTTTTTTTTACTTTCCTTATAAAAATAAAGAATTTTACTCCATAAATATCTATAATATTAGAAAATATAGTACAGACGTAAAGTGTGCTAACAGATGTAATGAAGGATACTTACATTCCCATTGCATCAGCTATAGGTCCGTACAGATCATCGTATAACGTACACTGTAAAAAAAATAGTGAGTTTTTTTTCAAGACATAGATTAATAATCAATATGTAGATTAATTTACATTGTAATTAGATACATTAAATTAATAATCAAGATATGTAATTTCTTTTTATGAAATATTATATATCTTAGACTAATTACCAAATAAATTTCATAGGCAAGATCCTTATCATCAATCAGTGTAGTATCCTTAAATAGTTTGGAAATTAGATTCTTTGAAACTGAAATAAAAATTTACATGTCTTTAGAATCCAAAAAGCCTTAAAATTAATTGTGTCCTGCTTGTCATTCTATTAATTATTGATTATTAAGAATTACCATTTGCATTGTCGCGCATACAGTATTTTTCTAAAATATTACGCGCTAATAGAGCTGGTGCAGCGTCAATATCTTTTGCTATCCTTAGCAAAATACCTACTGGCTCTCCGTTCTGCACTGCTTCCAAGTAACTAGGATTTAAAAACAGCAAATTAAAAATAATTGGATTTAAAAAAGTAAATTTTTTCTGATATATGTATAATCGCTTATGATGATTTTAAAGCAATTTTACCTGTCATAATAATTTTTATTGTTTCCAAACAGTCTGACATGATTATTTTTCATTTTCTGTTGTATTTCTAAAGATAAGATGCTGTACAGCGTGTTTGGATGGATGCTATGTAAGAGTAAAAAATCTCATAAGTATTTTAAATAATTCCAAATCGATTAAAAATAATAAGAATATAATTATATTGAATTAGCAAGTTTTTAAAGAGTTTCTAAAGAATATTAATTAATCAGCAAATTATTTAATTTTACTACTTAACCTTCACAATTAATGTCTTAATAAAAAGATAAATTCTTACTCGTTAAATTTCTCCTTTAACACTTTGGCACAATCTCTCGACAGGCCTCGAAAATTACGAATTGTCATCATTATTTCATTATACATTTCGATCTTCATTGTTTAAGATTGTTTACATCGATTATCATAACCTCACTGAAAAGCTCCTGCTGT